AAAGATAACTTTTCTGATTAACTGACTTGCTGTCTGGATGGCTGGCTGATTGAATGATACTGTTAATGCTAAAAAGTAATAAAAATGAACAAAGGACAATTGAAAATTGAACAACTAGCAATAGAAAATTTAGAAAAAAGCAGAAGTAGCAATGGAATAGGTAGAAAAGAAAGATTAACGAAACGAACGATAAAACTCTCTTATGACTCGCTGTATTTATAAAAGTTTCCTTTTTTCTGCAGTAAATGAGATGATTTGTTCAAAAGAATAAGAATATGGAGAGAAAAGGCAGGGAGACAATAGATCACTTTAATCAAAGCTGAAATGATTTAAATAAATTGGCACAATTACCACAGGACTGCCTAAATTACATTTTTGTATTTGTTTCACTGTTTGATAAAGTGAGATTTGTTTTTGTTTTTCTTAATTTCCCCCAAATTCTTATTGCAGAGGTCTCACTTTGATGACAAATTTTATTTTTTTGAGATGAATGGAGATTTTTAATTTAGAAGTAGTATTCATCATGGACTGACATCAGTTGAAGAACCATTGAAAATCTGGAGCACTGGACAGCTGTTTCGTCCTAGTATGGGACTCATCAGCAGTGCGCACCCACGACCCGGCTAGGGGTCAAACTCAGGACCTTCAGGTTTCACGGCGAACGCGTTAACCATTCAGCCACTGGATTGATTGAAATTCATTGTTCAATTGATTAAAAGTTTTGAAATTAAGCCTCTTTCATCTTTGTACTGTTCATTTCCGAATTGGTAGTAAATATTAGTAGCTCAATATCTGAATGCTTTTAGGGGAGAGAACATGAAGTGATCGAATGAAAAAATAACAAATACTCGATGTTTAAAGCAATGAGACACTTGGAGTAGATACGAATCGCGACGGTTCGCCCTCTGAACTTTATACTTCACTGAACCGCGAAAATCGGAAAGCGAAGACCGGTCTGTGACTGTATGGAAGATACTCTATTCGACAGAAATGCATCATTTATATGCAGTTTTCATGAGCGTATAAAACCACTAGGTCAAAAATTTAATAAATTATTTTGATTGGTCAACTGTAGGATGAATTGTCCCATAAGGTTTTTCCTGACCACACGGTAGCATGAAATAAAAATTGAAATTCAAAACTCCTGCCTTAGTGGATGATGATTTAGAATGTTGACTTCGATTTAAACCACCTCCCATCATTTCCCCCTGTAAAGAGTGTATGACTTCCATTTTGGATCCATTTAAAAAAACTTTGGTCTTCTACTTTATCAAACTAACCTTTTGCAGTAATGGGTAGCCTTAGTTCTGCGTCCTGTGTTTCCACACGTAACATATCAAAAGTATCCTGCAGAACTTTAAGCTTAAAATTTTACTACTTGTTGTTTGATATCTCTTCTGAAGGTCGTATATGGTTTGTGCATCTGATCCATGTTTGTCCTTCTACATTCACTTTGAGCAGAACATTTCCTTTACGTCCAATTACTTTCCCATGTGTCCACTTTGGTATTGAATAATGGAAAGCATGTAGGTAGACTTGCTGGTTTAGTTTGAAGACTTGGGGTTTAGCTCCATGATGGCGATTGAACGAATTCCATATTTTCGTATGCCTTGACCCCTGTTTTATGTGCATAGGCTTAATTGCATTGAGGACAGAACAGTCTCCATGTTAAATGTTATTTTGGAAAAGATTATTCGATGACGATAATCATTTAACTCAGCGTAGAAGAAAGTTATGAGTATTTCTTAGAATTTACGCTTTTCATTTAATTCCTTATCTGATATTGCGTTTGACGCAACTATTTTTTTAATTAATCTGTCACTGATTGATTTCATGTTACAAAATAGAAGTCAATTGAATAATCAGTGAGAAATAGGCGATATACCGTCAGTTGAGAGTGGTTAAAGCGAAGTGAAAATCTGTTCAGCAGTCACAACTTGCAGTACTGGGTCAGAAACCCGGTGGTCACTGGTTCGAATCCTGTCGCAGCCTAAATTTTTATTTCACCTTCAATCATCATCGAATATCAACATCAATATGTATCAACTCAAAATATCGACACTGACACAGATATCTTATCGTAGTCAGCTTTTAATAGAATTGTAAAGAAACATAATTTATTGAAATTCTTTAGAAAAACTAATTGTTCCCAATTTTTTGTTGATCAAATCCAATATTTTCATGTTTTTACGGTTTTGTAGAGATTTATCAAACGGATTGGTCATTTAAAAATATGTAGGTACAGGTGATAAGCGAAACTGGAACTCACTGGCGTAGGTAGTTAACTTTCACCCGGTGAGTCTAAGGCTTAAACAGCGCTTCACCTACCGAGGTTCCGTCAGTCAAGTAGTATCCTCAGCTCTCAAACATTAGGTGTGGCTCATTGCCTACTGCACGAATGTGCGGAAGGTTGTTGAGTACGTCTCACTTCACGTCTCTCTGTAGTAAGTAAAGGATTGATTAGTTACGTCAAAATATTTGTCGATAGTCGAAGAATAATACAACCAAACTGCAAGTGATATGTTTAGTAAACTGCATGACAGCTTTTACTACTGTCTTGAGTGGTGAGAAGTAGTCAGTATTCCCTAGTGAAGCAAATCATATTACTGAGTATCTGGATAATTCGCAAACACATAATATCAATTGTTAAACATTGTCAGTCATATCAAGTGGATTTGAACAACAGGTAGTCTTTATCAGGGGAGATAGTCCAAAAGATAAAAAATGCTTTGGAAGAATGGGCTCAATCGAAAGAAAGTCCTGAGTGTAGGTTTCGGGCTTTCTGACAACGGTCACCAAGGCATATCTCCAACCTCGAGCGAACTGATGGGACCCAATTGAAGGTCTGGACTCGCTTAACCAAGTCTTACAGTCAGCAAAGTTATCGCACAAATCTCCAAGTCGAGGTTCCAATTAACAATTAAAACAAAACATCAATTCTCTCAACCTACCACATACCACTTACTGACCTCTACCAACAAGCATGAAATCTAGATCCATGACTTCCTGCCCACTACCTCCAGCAAAACAACATCCATCAAAATGCACCACAACCCTGACACTCCTAACTTCGTGGTCACACTATAAAATCGTCAACAGGATTCAATCAGCACTCAGTAATACACAACATGAAATCCATTATTCTCCTGTGACCAATCGATGCAGATAAGAAATGCTGTCCATCTATTCCAGTAGAATCCATTCTACCAAGTTATTCATTAAATTGACTTCATTCAATTACAATGACATTTATGATATAACCTGTAGAATAGTCTCTAAACTGTTTAACAAACATGGTTTGTTTGCTTTCTATGGATTACTCACACTTTCTATTTTTCTGCTGATCAGTTTGATGATCAATTGTTTTGCATGCAGACAAATCCAATTGATTATTTGTGTTAGAGCAACGAAACACACATCGTCGATTCCCCTACTGGTCATCAGCAGACTAACCACAATCGCAGTGGTATATGGTTGAGAAGAGACAGTATTCTAGGCGAATGATAGCTGATCGATCGAAATTGTAGACGCATTGGAAACTCTTGATGGTGTTGCATCCTGTGAGTTGTGTTGAAGGGTGAGGGAGTGGAATGGGGCGGGGCGGGGCGGGGCGGGAACCTGTTTAATTTCAGAAACGATGTAAAGGGAAAATAAAGTAAGAAGAAAACTGCTAACCAGTTCACATTTCTCAAAGTTACTTGGTGAAACAATGAAAGTAAATTAGTCGTCGACTTCTCGGAAATCAGGAGATATTTTGAATGGTAATTTGTTAGTGAAATCTGTTTTGAAAGGCTTGACAACTCTCGACAGGGATTTAAGCCTCATTCGATGACATGGTGTTCCAGCACTTACTGCAAATTATTTGGTCACCTGAGAAGTTTCAACTCATCCACTGACTGATCACAGAAGCGTAGTCGATTTCACGTTGTGTAGTCCTGAGTGCTGATCGAATTGTATCCATCATTTTGCAGTGTGACCACCAAGCTAGGAGACTCAGCATCATGGCACACAATGATGGATGTTAGTTGGTTGGAGGCAGTGGGCATGAGGCCATGCAACTAGATTTCATGCTTGTTGATACTGGTAAGCAAGGCGTGTGTGCAACCTTGAGAGAAATGATGTTCCATGTGAGGTTTGAACCCATGTCACCCTGTGTTTCAGTTGAAGATGTTGGTGGTGAGCTGTTTGGGTTGCGACTGACCTGTTGTATGACTGTATTACATGTACTGACTGATCACTGCAGAGCAACCAATCTCATTTTGTCTTGTTCTGAGTGTTGACTGAATTTTATCGATTCGGTTAACCGTAAATTTGATATAAGTATTGGTTATTTCACGTTGTTGTTTGGTTTCAACGTAATTGATCGGCTTTTATTGGCTTATGGACTACTATATGGATTATTATTATTATTAGTCCCTTGGGTTCCTAGTGGAACATAGGGCTTCAGTAGCACGCCTCCAGTGACCTCTGTTCTCTGAGATCTTTTGAACCTGGTCCCATGACAGCCCAGAAGCTCTCATTTCCTCCTCGCACAACCTCCTCCATGTCACCCTCGGACGTCCAACTCGTCGCTTCCCATGGGGATTCCACTCGAGCAACTGGCCTGACGCGTGATGTCCTCAGTCGGCCTTCTCAGTGCATGCCCAATCCATCTCCACTTCCTCCTGCATATTTGTTGCGTGATAGGTTCTTGGTTGTTTCGTTCCCAGAGTTCCTTGTTGCTTATTCTTTCTGGCCATCTGATCTTCAGCAGCGAGCGTAAGCAGTTATTGATGAATGTCTGTAGTTTATTGGAAATACCTTTCGTGACGCGCCAAGTCTCTGAACCATACAAGAGCACTGACTTGACGTTGGTGTTGAAAATCCGTATCTTGTTCCGCATGCTGAGTACAGAAGATCTCCACACTGGTTTCAGGCTAATGAACACCTGTCTTGCTTTTCCGATTCTGACTTCGACGTCCTCGTCCGTCCCGCCTGTAGTTGAAACAGTGCTTCCTAGATAAGTGAAGGAGGTTACTTCCTTCAAGTTTCTCCCGTTGACGGTGATTGGAGTTTGTTGTTGTTGTTGATGGTGGTGGTGCGGTATCTTCATCACTTCTGTCTTCTCTATATTCACCTGAAGTCCCGTCTTGGCTGCCTCTTCTGTCAACTTGTTAGTTTTTGCCTGCAGATCTTCAAGTTTGTGTGACATTAGGCATAAGTCATCGGCGAAATCCAAGTCTTCTAGGTTCTTTTCCGTCGTCCAGTGTATCCCCCTCTTCTCGCTGCCTACTGTTTGCTGCATGATCCAGTCGACCACAATAAGGAATATCATGGGGGATAGTAGGCAACCTTGTTTCACTCCTGTCTTCACTTGAAAGGCATCACTGAGCTTCCCATTGTGGATTACTTGGCATGTGGCATCTTCATATAGTTGTTGAATGAGGCGGATAAAGGTTTGCGGCACTCCGTAGTATTGAAGCAGTTTCCAAATTACTTCTCGGTCGACGCTGTCAAAGGCCTTCTCAAAGTCGATGAAGTTGAGGTAGAGAGCTGATTGCCATTCTATGCTCTGTTCTATGATGATGCGTAGTGTGGCGTTGCAATTTGGTCCGCACATGATTTGTACTTCCTGAAGCCTGCCTGTTCCGGTCGTAGTTTTGAATCCAGTGCATCCTTTAGCCTCTCCAGGATGATGCGGCTTAATATTTTGCTTTGGGTGGACAGGAGAGTGATTCCGCGCCAGTTCTTGCAAGCACTGAGGTCTCCCTTCTTCGGCAGTTTGACAAGGTAACCCTTCTTCCAATCGTCAGGTACCTTCTCTTCCTTCCACACCTTCTGCAATAGTGGTGTGGTGTGAGCATGTCCGCTGTTGTCTCTGCATCTGTTCTCAGTGCTTCTGGCGGAATCCCATCTGGTCCTGCTGCTTTCCCGCATTTCAGTAGCTTTATGGCTTTGCTTTCAGGACTTCCATTTTTGTTGGATGATTTATGTTCACTTGTAATTCAGCGGCTGCAGGTGGTATTTCTAGACGAAGTGCAGGTGGTAGTCGATTCAAGAGCTTCTTGAAGTGGTCGGCCCATCGTTTCCTCTGTTTCTCTTCTTTTGTAATTAAATTTCCTTCTTCATCTTTTATTGGTTTCATCTGTGTTGGTCTCTTCCCTGATAGCAACCTGGTTATTTGATACAATGTCGTCAGGTCTCTCTTACCTGCAGCCTGTTCTGCTTCACTTGCCAGTGTTTCGTAGAAGTGTCTTTTGTCTTTGCGTGCACTCTTCTTCACTTCTTTATCCAGTGTTTTATACATTGTGCTCAGTTCCTCTTGTCGTTGAGCATCCTTGCACTGGTTTATCTTCTGCTTCACCATCCTCCTCTCTGCTCTATCAGCTTCCAGGTATCCGTCGAGATCCATTCCTTGTCGTCTTCTTTCTTCTTCCTTCCTAATACTGTTGTGCAGGTTTCTTTCCACATTTCTTTCAAAGACTTCCAGTGTTCTTCCACACAGGTTTCTTCAGGGATGTCCCTCGATGTCTCCCATTTTGTCTTGATGGCTGCCTTGAAGATCTCCTTTGTAGTTTCATCCTTCAGTTTCCTAGTGTTGTACTTGAATTGAGGTCTATCACCAGCTTCCTTGAAGGCTTTTAACTTGATTTGGAAGGTTCCTTGCACTAGACAGTGAGTGGTGTGAACCTACATCTGCTCCTCTTCTTGACCTTGTGTTAAGTAGACTGCGTCTCCATTTTCTTGAGATTGAGATAAAGTCGATTTGATTTTTAGTGTGTCATGGTGTCTGGTGAAATCCATGTCGCTTTGTGGATATCCTTGTGCCTGAACACACTGCCTCCAATCACCAAATCGTTGAATGCGCAGAATTCTGCAAACAATTCTCCATTCTCATTCATTTCACCTAGCGCCTCTCGACCCATGGTTAGTTCTCTTCCCGTGTTGTCCCCTCCCAGTTTGGCATTCATGTCGCCCAGTAGAATGAATTTTGATATCGCCAACTGACGTCTTGTCCAGTGTTGATTGAAGTTGTCTGTAGAATTCCTCCTTTTTCTCTTGCTCTGCATTATTTGTAGGTGCATAACATTGTATGATTGTGACCTTTCTTCCTTTTGAGTTGAATCTTGCTGTCATGATCCTGGAGGAGATTGGTTCCCACTGCATGAGAGCCTTCGATGCTCTTGAGGACATCATGATAGTCACTCCATAACTCAGTGTGCTCGTGGTTGTCGTCTGGGTGACAATATCGGAGTAGATTATTGATTCTCCAGTTGACAGTTTGGAGAGTCCACTCCCATTCCATCTGCTTTTGCAAATCCCAAGCACTTCGATGTTATACCTTCTCATCTCCTTTGCAATCTGGGCTGCCTTACTGGGTTCAAACATCGTGCGGACATTCCATGTCCCCACGTTTACTTTCGCTGTCATCGAGAGAAGACACATCGGCCAATTGGCTTCCCGAAGGCAGGCTTTCACCAACTGGCGTCATTTCGCCTCTCCAATTCCAGCGGGGAATAAGTTTGTTTTCATTTTTTATATTTTGTTTGTGCTTTGAAGTTTCTTTGGCGGTTGGTTGGATTTGTTTTACGGGGTAGGGTTGCTAGCTCTATGCCCAACCTTCCCTCTTTACCCGGTCTTAGGACCGGCTAGTAACTAGTAAACTAGTTAACCAGGCGAGGTTACTATATATGGATATATATGGATACTTGTACACTATTCTATTCATTACTTTTCAGCAAAAGTTAAACTTTACTAACATAATCTCCTTAATAAAATGATATGAGAAAGCGAAACAACCGTCCAGCGAAATTTTTCATTCAGCAAAATAGAATAAACTTAAGATGGTTGGTTTTTTATAGATATTAAAGGTGAGTTTAAGTTGATGAGAAGTTATCAATAAATGCTTTAAGAGTTAATAAGAAAATTATGGAAAATAAGTTTAAAATAAGGGATTCATTTTAAGAATTTCAGTCAAACAGATAATAATATGCATAGTGATGATTGAAGGTGAGATAAATATCTGGTATGATTGGAACCAGCAGCTTACTTGTTATCTACCTGGCACTTTTCAAACTGGGCTACGAGAGCCATCTACTAGTCAGGTCTTAATTTCACTTCAGTCGTCAAGTATTCTCCTCAGCTACCAAAAGAATCGGTGATACACAACTGTCTGTTCATCGTGATCCCATTGACTACCCAGTTATCTTTTCCTGCCCTATCCAAACAGAGCTAAATTAGAGATCTTGACTGTTAATGAAATCATTTGAGATAACCGTGGTTTGGTGGAATATTGTTATTAGTACTAAGAGGATTTAAACTGGTTGAGCAGCTACCGGGATTACTATGAGTGGACAGTAGTATGATAACCGTGCAAACTCTTGGTGATTTAAGTGAAGTTAAAAAGTGGTTAGCAGATACTTTTCACAGCTCAGATAACAAGGCAGCGCGTCGGTAACCCAGAAGGCATTGGTACGAATCTGCCACAACCGAGGTTTTCATTTCACCTTCAATCATCACCTACAACTAATAACAATAGTCTGCTAAACCACGGCTGCTTCATATCGTTCCGCACAAGAGCCCATCTTCCAACAGAGGTCAAGCAATTCAGCCCAGTATAACAAGGTAAATTACGAGTACCAATAAACAATAACTGGTACCCGTTGCATAGGTGGTGGCACTAATGCTCCAGTGGCCCAGTGGATAATGGTTTGGTGTTTAAAACGAAGGGTACTGAGTTCGAGTCTCATTCGGAACAACATCACTCACTGGGGTGTAGGTACATCCAGGTGATGAATCATAAATAAGGCGATACGCATATCATGGATTCCACTGCTAGCCATCAAATAAACTACAGTAGTTCCACTAACAATAATAATAATGTCATAAAAATTGATCGAAGTTGGGGATTTCATCCATTATAATACTAGTCATTAGTTTTGAAGGTATGGTTTACACTGTCAGGTGAATGAAATCACCGCACTTTAAAACTGCTATCAATCATTTAACATAACAATTTCTGGAAATAATTCACCAGTTTGTAATTAGTTAGTTATACAGTAAGTTAGATTTCTTGATGCCATAGCTTATGAACCTCTATGGGTTCGAGTTTTAGTGAGAATAACATCACTCATTAGAAGACAGGTACATCCAACTGAAGAGTCCCAAATGGGACGGAACGCACATCCTGGATTCCACTACTAGCCACTATCCATCATTAACACCAAGTCAGTAAAAATGCTTACAAATAACTAGTGGTCATACTATTTAGTGAATGAAAGAAGGTTTGAAACTGTCAAATACTGAGTACTGTTCCGAATGCAAAGTTACAAGCTAAGTAATGTCAGCGAATCTTAAAGTAACATGAATCAACGAACTCCCTTGTAACTTTAGGTTCCACTTCGAATAATTTCGTTTCATAACAAACTAGATGACGATTTATTGAGTTTTCTCAGCAATACCAAAAGATAAAAGTATTTAGTAACCATAAATTAAATTAGTTGTTACGAACTGATAGCCTGATAAGTTTTACTTCAAACGAGTTAAGTGATCCTTCGGTGTTTTAATCACGTTTGTATAGCAATTGAGCCCTTACTGCTGATCGGTGTGATCGGTTTATATCCACTTACTGCACTCACTAGTATGTTTTTTTTATTACAAATTTTGAGATTTTATTTGCTCTTTTAATACTTTTCTTTGCATGGTAATCAGTGTTATTGCTAGTTGAAGTGTCTGTTTTCTGAATTTCTCTTTATAGTCGATTCTTTTATTCACTCCTAATACACACTTGATGTTAATTCATGTGTTTACATGCACATTAAATTTTTCCACATGTTATCTATACATCTAATTATGATTAATATTATTGTTATTATTATGTATCGTATTAATTTATAAATAATGCAATAACAGAAGGATTACATAACTCCTAGCCTAATGCTTCTATTCATGATAAAATGATACATTTAGATTTTCATTTCCCTTTTACTCCCATTTCCTTTGAATGAAGACACTTGAAGTTTAGTTACGTGAAAGGATGCGGCTGTGTGCCTATATGTGAATAGGTAGTCGAACGAACGACAGGGAGAGGAATGAGGATTCACTTGAAGATCGTACACATATTCCATCTTTCTACCTCTCTCTTTCCCACATAGACACACATTATCATACTAATAAATCGATGAAAAGACCCACTTGAATGATTGTAAACACGATTATTATGTTTCATAATTTTTTCCAATGTTAAATTAGTGAATTCATCCACAAAGCATAGTTCTCTTATCATCGATGTTCTCATTGATGTTTATTCGTCATGGTTAAATGGATTAAGAATGACCTTAGAAAGAAAGAGGTTTTTTTCTAAGTATTTGAAAATGAGATGTGTTAGGTAGGTGTTTTATCCTAATGGAAGAGCTTTCAATCAGCGAAAGCTGGGTATACTTCAAAGTTTAATATTAAATGTTTAGGCTGTATATTGAGATACACACTGGTGATTTTAAATATTTCGTAAAACTACCAATACATTTTTAGGCACTTAGAATAATAGTTAATTTATTGGCCGTTGGATGAAGTAATTAGTTAGATATAGAGAATAGTCTGGACTTGGATCCAGTCTTCAGCGGTGTTGGTGTTCTTCAGCACTCATCAATTATTTATTGATCTTCAAAGATCCTATGACTTTGTGAAACGACTGTTGGTTATTTCTTGATCTCATTTCGGAGGTTTGGAATTTATTGACTGACTTCAGGTTGACATTCACCACGGACTGGCATAAGTTGGAGAACCATTGGAAAGCTGGGAGCACCGGACAGCTGTTTCGTCCTAAAG